CACCTACCCACACACACACTCCATACCCACCCCCCAACCATACAAAGTACCTACATAATTTTTCATACTTTTGAGTTTTTCTGTGCAGAATTTTGAGTTTTTAGCTGTGCAATTAAAATTGTGATTAATTGTCACTAATTTTTTTAATCATGCAACAAATCACAATCAAATTTTTTAATTATTTGACAACCCTAAAATTTTATACTTCACTTTTCCTAAATTAGTTCTCATGCTAGTCCAATATAATCTTTATAGTATACATTCTTGTTATATAAATTCCCATTTTTTATTTTTTTGCACTTTCCATATAAGTGATAAGGAATAACTGTGGGTATCTCTGTAAATCACAGAGGAAGTACCCCCTGTAGTGGCTCCTTTAATTTTTTTCATTTTGCCACTTGCCCCCTCCCCCCACAAGCCCTGGTTGGCAGAAATGCCCCACCAGCCAGGCCGCTTGCTGCTGATCACCAGGGAAGCAAAAAGCACAGTTTTAAATACGCCAAGGTTTTTGCCTCTCTGCTGCTGATTGGTAGCGGGGCCTTAGAGGCCCCATTGCTTCCTGCTGACGGTGGGGAGGCAAAAACTGCAGCCGATTTGGGGGACAGTGATTTGATTCGCACGGGCCAGCTCCAGCCCTTTAAAAAAAAAACCCTGAAGAAACCCTGGGACTCACCGCTCCTGCCACTGTGGGGCAGGGGGTGGTTTCTGCATGAGCCCCTGAAGCCATGAGGCTGCACCAGAAGCGGTGTGTCCTGTGGCTTTTCTCCGCCTTTTTTTTTCTTAAAGGGCTAAAGCCCCAGCAGATGGGGCAGCCATGGGGGGGAGGAGTGAGGGGGGTTGTTGAGGAGGCTCATGCAGAGCCCCCCATGCAGCATGGGGCAGTGGAGAGCAGTGGGGATCACCCCCTGCCCAGCAGCACCTGGTGAGCACCGGGGCTTTTCTTTAAAGTACCAGGAGCTGGGGTGGGCAGAGGCAGCCACTGGGAGACTGGGGGAGTGGGCAGGGGTTGGGGGGGCTGGCAGGGGTCCCCCCATGGTCACCTCACTCCTCCCCCAGCCCCCTTTCCCCTGCCCCTAGTACTTACTAGCTCAGAGTGGTAAATTTGGGGACAGCCCAAATCATCAAAGCTCTCCGAATCTTTGCTGAAGCTTCGGAGAGCTTTGAATCAATTTGGACCTTTAAACTGGTTCCCTGATTTGACTCGGATTCAGAGATTCAGCCACTGAATCGGGCTGAATCTCCTCCAAATCAAATCACCACCCAAAGCTTTGCACAGCCCTAGTGACTGATCAGTGAGCAGGGGTGAAGAGGTGGAGTGTGGCAAGTGGCAAAATTAAAAAAATTAAAGGAGCTGCTGCAGTGGGCACTTCCTCCATGGTTTACAGAGATCCCTAGGAATAAGTCATGATGCATTTGTACCCTTGGACAGAGTTATCTTTGCATCTATAGACTTCAGTTTGAGCTTCAGCATGCTTTGCTGTACACAATTAATTTTTTCTTGATGCAGTCTTTGCTGTGGATCTTTTGAACTATTTAAAAAAGGAAAAGATTGAGATAAAGGAGTGTTAAAATAGATAAATAAATAAATAAATAAATAAAAGAGCTCTATGCTGTTGGAACTATAAAACTCAGTGGGGCTGGGAAGTCTGCTCTGGCTTGGTTAACTTCCATGGTTCTAAGGGGAGGGAGAAAGGAGAGCAGAAAAATAAAGACACTGGATTTCAGAAAACCAGACTTTAGCAAACTTAGGGAACTGCTGGGCAAGAGCCCCTGGGAGGCAATTTTAAGGGGAAAGGAGTCCAGGAGAACTGGCTGTACTTTAAGGAGACTGTATTAAAAGCACAAGAGCAAACTATCTTGATGCAATGGGAAAACGGGATGTGCAACAGGATACCAGCCTAGCTGGGCAGCAATCTCTTCAATGAGCTGAAAGTCATAAAAGGAATCCTATAAAAAGTAGGAAACTTGGTCATATCACTAGAGAAGAATAGAAGAGTGTTGGGCAGACACACAAGGAGAAAATCAAGAAGTCAGTCTGTCCGTGTGTGCAGCTGATCAAGAAAGCCAAGGTATGATTTCAGATGCAACTGGCAAGGGACGTAAAAGGCAATAAGAAGGGAAGGGACATGAAAGGCAAAAAAATTCTATAAGTTTGTAAAGAGTAACATGAAGACTAAAGAAACCGTAGGTCCCTTATGGAATACAGAAGGCAATTTAGTTAAGGATTCTGCAGAGAAGTATTTTTTACTTCAGTTTTCACAAGTAGGGTGAGCTATCAGATGATAATCACAGTCAGCAGCAAGGATAGGGAAGGAGACAAATGGCTCAGGCTAGTGGCAGAACAAGTTGGGAATTACTTAGAGAAGTTAGATGTTTTCAGGTCAGCAGGGCCATATGAGATGCATCCTAGGGTACTGAAGGAATTGGCTGAGTGATTTCAGAGACATTGGCTATCCTCTTTGAGAACTTATGGAGATTCGGTGAGGTCCTGGATGATTGGAAAAGGGCAAATATAGTGCCCATCTTTAAGAAAGGGAAGGAGGATCCAGAGAATTACAAACCAGTCAGCTCAACCATGACACCTGAAGAGATCATGGAGGAGGTCTTCAAGGAATCTATTTTGAAGCACCTGGAGAAGAACAAGGTGATCAGAAGCAATCAGCATGAATTCACCAAGAACAAGTCATACCTAGCCACCTGTATAATAAAGTGACAGGCTCAGTTGATGGGGGGAGAGCAGTGGATGTGGTATACCTTGACTATACCCAGGCTTTTGACACTTTATCTTATGGCATTCTCATTAGCAAACTAAGGAAATAAGCTGTTTATAGACATTATGTTTTTCAAGGTTGAATCCAGACTACAGCTGTCACTATATACACATGAACATCTGTACTCTGAGTTAAAATTGGCTCCTGTCTGTATTACTTCATCTTCATTGAATGAGGATTAAAGTTAATGCAGACAAAGGCAGTCTGAACTAGGCTCTTTAGACTATATTAATTCACATGTATATACAGCATTGCTTTTAGGAAAAACAGTCTTTAGGAACTCAGCAGATGCACATTGCAAATATCAATCCCTGTAAAGGATACTCAGTTGGATATCTGCAACACAACAGAGACTATCAGGCACAAAGTAACACCTTTACAAAGTCAAATGCACCAACAACACCTCGCCCTTACTAAGTATCAGTATTCTAAGCCCCCAGCCCTGCCCAAGCAAACAGGCTACTGGTCTGTGAAGAAGGGGGCCTCTTGCTGCTCCGCAGTCCCTGGGAGGGCTGTGGGCTGGGGGGCTGTGCCAGGCTCTTCCTGGGGGGCTCGTGCCCCGGGGTCTGCATGCAGTACAACTGCAAGCTGCTGCTGTGGCACCAGACTCTTCCCAGCGCTCGGGGCGGGCCATCCTGAGTGCCGGAAACAGCCTGATGCCACCGCTGGCCCTAGCCTGCAGAGGCAGCCTGCTGTCATCTGAACCCCCCACGCCCTGCCCCACAGCCACTGACAGCTTCTTCCGCAGCTGATGCCAGCCACTCCTGGGCCTGCTGCAGCAGGGGCTCGGGTGAGTGTGGAAAGCTGCACTGTGCTTCGTGCTACCCAGGACTCCACTTGTCCGCATTCACCCCAGCCTGTGCTGCAGCTGCCCCAGAAACAGCCAATACCACCTGCCTGCACCATAGCACAGTGCAGCCCAGGACCTGGGGTGAGTGAGGACAGGTGGAGCCCAGGTGTGGGGGGACAGGCGGAGCACGGTGCAGCCCAGAGGCTTCAGGCAGCTGGTGCTGGCTGCTCCCAGGGCCACTGCAGCAGAGACTGGGGTGAGTGGGGACAAGCTGCACCGTGCCCCATATCCCTTGGGGCTCCACTTGTTCTCACTCACCACAGCCCCTGCTGCAGCAAGAGCTGCAGCGCCCGCTCCCCCCGCCCCGACAGTTCCTTCTGCTTTGCTCTCTTGTGCAGTTCCAGGAGTGGCACCCTTCCCTTTGCCCCTTCCCTAGTCCCAGCCTCACTCCCTCCCTCCCTCACCACGGTGGGAACCTATCCCTATTTGTTACATTTAAACTGAGTTCCCTTTATGCAAATTCGATTTATGCACAGTTTCCTGGGAATGCACATACCACATAAATTGAGAGAAACCTGTACTTTCAGTGCTAACACTCCATGCTTATGTGGTGTGGTAGCAGAGCAGTTAAGCCATCTTGCTATGTCTCCAGAGGTGTGACTCCAAGCTCTGTTGCCCAGGTGTGTATCAAAGGCCACCCCCTATGACCCAGCTGTAAATGAGGACCTGGTCTTTAAGGGTGCTTGTATATGCTGTGCAGGGTTAGTTCTCCCTAAATTGAAATGGTAGGTTTTTAAAAATCCCACCACGGGCTTGATCCCATACTGGACCCCCACAGGCTTGATCCCATAATGGATCAAGTATGGGTCATTTTAATAGAAATGTTTGTTTATCTTAAACAATTCATTCAAGTTTTGGCTGAACTGGTTTTCCTACTCATACCGTTTTTCCTGCTCATAAAAGAAAACATATTGGTAATTTTAAGAAAGAGCAGCAAAAAATTGAAACAATCCATTTTTGTACTGCGTGCAGCTCCATAGGGGTCTAATTCAGTTAGCTGCCTCTGGCTGCTGCTATAATATAAATGACTAATAAATAATAACACTGGCAAAGACACTTTCATAATAAGTGTTTAATGTGTTTGTATACAAATATGAAAAACGGGAACTAGAAGTAAAGGCACATTTAAATAGTTATGTGGCAATTTAGATAATTTAATTTGATCATTTAATGGTGATCTAAAAATCAATCCATGCAGCCACCCCTAAAGCAGTCAAATGGTTATCAAATTTAGATATTAATCTATGAATGTTTTAATGCTAAAATGTCATAAGAAAGAGAGAGAATAGTTATGTGAAACAGGTATATGAGAAGCAGATTTTTAGGATGATGAAAATTAAAAAAGAATTAAAATGTAGATGCCTCAAGTCTGGTTCCTGCTTTTAAATGTGGGTACTTAAATACGTAGTCTGATTTTCAAAAGTTCTGAGCACCTAGGGACTACTGACGATTATGCTGACGCTACATGGATTAGAATTTAGAATTTCTTAACTTCATCAGGCCATCTATCGAGGACAGTAATTCTCAACCTTTTTGTATTCAAGGCATCCTCACTAGACTCAAGACACCCCCTCCTTAAGTTTTATTATTTAAGTGGCACCCAATTTCAAAAACTAATTCATATATTACAGTGTTTACTTCCTTGCAGAGGTGAGGGGCAGCGGACAAGCCTGAGCCTGTGCTTATCTGCCTAATGATATCACAAGAACAAAGAAATGTGACACTTGAGTGGCTGTGGGAGGAATGGATTTTAAACACATTATTAATTAATTATAATTCTTTGCTTTCATGGCTGCTAGCACCATTTAACTTCAATAACGAATTAACAAAGGGTTCCTTTTTTCCAAAAGACTGACGTATCAATAAGCATGCTCTTATGCCCCTTCTATAAAGGTACCAATGCTAATGATAAACATTCACCCAACAAGACCTGCAGGAAAAAAGAGAGGGAGGGGGAAAGAAGACTGAGGCCTCTGCCAGATGTGCAGGTAAAGGCATGATAGGATCTGATGCATGATTGCAACAGAGAGCCTGGGGAGAAAGAGCCCAGGCACAGCCCTGCAGGGAAGGTAGGGCACAGCCTCAGCTGGGGTGCCATGACAAATAGGTAATGAGATTAATTAGGAGGCACCTGCAAGCAACCCAGGAGGATCACCTGATTGGAAGAGAGAATGGTCAGAAAGATATAAGGCAGCCCCAGAGGCTTGGGAGGCAGTCTGCCCATGGAAATGCTCTGCAGAGGTGCCTGTGACAGAGACACAGGTTGTAAGTGGGTTTGGCCAAGAGACAGCAAGAGAAGAAGCTGAGGGCTAGCCATGCATATAGACCCAGGATTGGGATAGGAATTTAGCTATAGCCAGAAAGGCTTGTGTTTTCATTTCAGTTTGGCCTGGTGCCTTGAGGGGGGTCAAGGAGGGTCAGGTGCCCAGGGGTCAAAGGTGTGGTGGGTGAGTAAAGGTGGTGAGGGCCCTTTGGGTCAGAGCCAGGGCAAGAATTGTGTGGCTACTAGCAAGAGTCATGGCCACCCCTAGGATCCAAACCCATTACAGCAATCCATACAATTGCTCTTCCTGCCATGTCACACATGCATGGCAGAAAGCATGATTGTGGGAGCAAGCATAGATCCCATCATGCTTTATTGCTAGTGAAAGGGGAGCTTAGGATCATGATCTCCAGATCCCTCTGCACCAGCAAGTAGCAAGCTCCCACAGTTGGGAGCCTGCAGCCAAGGGAGCACATGGTGGGCACCCATCACTGCAAGCCTCATCAGCTGACAGGACTCCCAGCCACAGGGACAAACCTGGCTGCATGTTTAATTAATAGCATCATAGGAACCAGCCACGAAGTTATTCCACACTTCCTGTGGAATAGCTCCACAGTTTTTCTTGTTTTATGACACCATTAATTGCTTTAACATGTGGCTGGATTACAATTTCAGATGTGATTAACTGGTCAATCATGTCTTACACGTAACCTGATGTTAACATGTCATGCTATTTGTAAGTTGAAACCTAGTTAAAACAGAAAGGGTTTTCTCGTCATGGTTATTTGGAATAAGTTCTAAAGAGAGAATCTAATGTTGACAGTGAATGGCATCCAGATCTCCTCCCACCTAGCACTGTCTGGGTAAATTATGACCTCATATATAGGTATTTGCATCATGTATCAGTTGGAGGGAACTATTTCCTCCTCCCTGAGGCCAGATGGTTTTACATCACCAAATTTTCCTTTGTTTATATTTTAGCATTTAGACGTCAGCATTACAACGGATAAGAGATCCACCAGCAGTTAAAATGATGATTTCAAGACAGTTATGTTTCAGCTGTATTCCATCAATGTAGAAATAGAACAAAAATGTTAAAACTTCCCCCTCTTCTGCAGCTAGATTCATTTCACTCACAAAGGCTTAAAGAGAAGATTTAAGAGCAATCATTACCTTATTCCATTCACTTATAATTCTCAATACAATGCAATAATCTCTTCCACGTTTTAAAGGAGCATTATAAAACTTCCCATAATAATGCCTGTCTCCAAGAGTGATTGACATGTTGTCAGCAACATCTTTGGCCAGAAATTCAGCTGCCACATACCCTGCAGTGTCGGTGGCATTGCCAAAAAACATTGCAGCAGTGAGGGAATTGCAAGCAAATTGGCTTTGCAAGTCTGAAGGAAGTACAACCACTTGGTAAAAACTAGAATGAAACAGAAAAACAAGTATCAGTGCTCATTTCAATGAACCATGCACTAGAGCAACATCATATTTGCAAGCACTCTGTTATATCTTTTGCCCCTCTAACAGTTTTTCAGTCATAAAAATTCAGTGTGAATTCTTTATGTGTGTGGCTGTAGTATTTCCCTTTGTGCATTTGCTACCAAACTCTTTATGAAACACAACACGGGCAAGCATAAATCTGATTTTCCAAATTGCACAAACAAATTGAACATGATTGTGCAAGACCAAACTGGGTGTGTCTACACGTGTGCTTTAATGAGCAATAGCTTATTTTACTGTGCATTGAAGTGCCACATAAAAACCCACACAATTATGTTAATGCACAATAAAATAGGCTCCTGTTCATTCATTAGTGCATATTAAGGCAACTTGATGTGGATTTCTTTAGTACCTCACACTGGATTTACTAAATTTAATAAGCATTAGAAAAAGTGCCTTAATGCATATGTAGCCGTGTCCACTGGATCCTTTCATAAGAAAGTGACCAACTATGAGTTACTGCATATTGTCCTTTTGCTGCATTCATCTAAAGTACAACTTTCAGCTCCAATCTGGACACAAAGATGATCACATGATCAGCCTATAAAAAACAATTTTAATTTGATTTCTCAGAGATAAACTGTTATCTAGATCAAGAAAGTGTTGACAGTTCCCATCTATAAGGCTTTAGTAAGAAACCACTCCCTGACTTCTTTAAACAACATTTCAGGTATGGTACAGTACTCTGTACCTCAGCTTTCCCCCAGTATGGTTGTCAACCTTTTCTAAACTCAAGGCACCCTCCAGCAGACTCAAGGCACCCCTCCAAAACTTTTGTGAATTGTGCAATACCCCATTTCAAAAACTTGTATATTCCAGTTCATATATTTCATATGTTTCGTAGATATTAGGGTTGGAAGGGACCTTGCAAAATCATCAGGTCCAGCCCCCTGCCCAAGGGGCAGGAAGGCAGCTAGGGTCAAAGGATCCCAGCAAGATAAGCGTCCAAATGTTTCTTAAAGGTGTCCAGAGTAGCTGCTTGCACCACCTCTGGAGGTGGTCTATTCCAGGCCTTGGGGGATTGGGCAGTAAGGAAGCTTTTTCCTTATGTCCAGCCTAAAACGGTCTTGGAGGAGTTTGTGACCATTGGACCTTGCCATCCCTTGGGGTGCTCTGGTGAACAGGCATTCCCCCAGGTCCTGATGCGTACCCCTTAAGTACTTATAGGCTGCCCCCAAGTCACCCGAGCCTTCACTTCTCCAGGCTGAAGAGTCCCATGGCTCTCAGCCTCTCCTCGTAGGGCCTGTTCACCTGCCCTCTGATCATGCGCGTGGAGTTCTTACCTCCTTGCAAAGAAGCTGGGCAGTGGGGGCAGAGGAGCAGCTAGGCAGGGATGAACTTGTGTCTGCACTTGCCTGTTTATCTCCCCACACCTCAGGGCACCCTTCAAACGTTCTTACGGCGACCTGAGGGTGCCCCAGAACCCTGGTTGAGAATCACTGTTCTACATAATTTTTTGCTAGATGTATTGGATGATGTACACAAGAAAGTTGGAGTTGAACTGGTCTCACAAAATACCAGTGTGAATCTGGTGCACCTCCATTGAAATTCAGAGCAACTCAGAACAGAAATTTGTTCTGCAAAACAGAGAGGAGCCTGAAGTCAAAACCCCCAAAAAGGAACACTCCAAAAAAACCTATGATTAAGCTGGGATCTCAATCCAAGCTTGCTGGTTTGGCTTCATCTCTAATAAAACTGTCTAACCCAATGGAGCACAACATTTAAGAGCAGCAGTCGGCAACCTTTTAAGGATGCAGGCTGAACTGACCTAGTTCGGGTCAGAGGAAGGCAAGCTGGCAGGTGGGTGCTACAACCCAGCCACCACTGCCACTTTTCCCAGTGGCAGCATGGGGAGAGCACCTGCAGCAGGGGGGAGCCATTATCAAAGCCCCTATACACTGCCAAAACCCCATATCAAATGGGAAAGAAGGGGACAGGGAGGAGGAAGACAGCTTACTTCTGGCTGCAGAGTGGATCAGTGGCACAGCACAGGGGAGAGACAAGGGTATGCTGGACCAAGGTGCTTACCATTGATCCCCTATGCTGCAGGCCAGATCTGATCATTTCAGAGGTCAAACCCAGCCCGTAGACCTCTGGTTGAGCACCACTGTTCCAACCAGATACAGTCTAAAATAAAAATCAGCCATATAAGTGACCCAGCTAAACAGAGTCAGGAGCACAGGGAAAAACCAACCTGATAGGCCCATTTCTATCATCCACTTTCCATAGTCTGAGCAATGGTGCAGGGCTTTGCAGAGTCACGAGTTTTACTTCTGGGAAGAGGGGATCTGAAAAGCAAACCAGGGTCAGTCCTTCAGAAAAGCTTCTGGAAGTAATGCAAAACTGAAGGCACAAGACTGTTTTTCTAGATTAGAATTATACAGGGTCTTCATAAAGTCCTTGTGCACAACCTAAATTATTAAAGTTTAAAGTTCACAAGGACTTTACGGAGACCCTGTACATTAAACATGCTGCCAATGCAAGGAGCTTGAGCAACAAATTGCGGGGATCTTGAACTACTGGCACTGGTAGGGCTTAATGCGAGCATGGCGGCACAACCACAGGGAGTGGCACACAGGTACTGAAGCGTATGCTGTGCTCAGGAATGATGGAAATGAAAGTAAAGTTGGTGGGATAACACAAAAGTCATTCACATAGATGACTGGCTAAGACTACATCAGGTTGGCAGTTACCAATGGGGGAGATGAAACACTTAAGGTAGTGTTTCTCAAGTTAGGGTGTGTAATAAATTTCTTCAGGGTATGTGAGATGAAGGCTTGGGAAAGAAGAAGAAAGGAAAGGGGAAACATAAATGCAGGAAAAGGAGGACAAAGCAAAAATGAAGAACAACTTTATTGTATTCCTTAGGCTGTAGAAGTGATCACCATGTATCTGGAGGGATACAAAGATTTTTTTTTTATTGGTTCCTTCTACTCTTATTTTCCTGTGAATACAAATACCTTAAAGTTTACAGATAATATTTTTAGTGGTCAAATGTGGGAGAAGATTTTACTTTGATTTAAGCTGAGCATCAGCAGACTCAGCCTGAGCAAATAAATATTGAAACACAAACCCAATTTCTTGTATACCTTGCATCCCTGGCTAAAAATCATAATAATTTGAGCTTATCATGAGAGATTTACAACACTTGCCTAAACTATCAAGAGCCTCCTGAACTCCTAAATTTCCCTGGTAGACAGGTAAATGAGAAAATAAATTCTTCAGGTTAGCTTTCTTTCGTTCCTGTCTCAAATCCTCCTTTTCTCCGGCATCCAATCCAGCCAAATAGAAATTTTAATTTAATTCCCAGAAACAGTCTGAAAAAGGTTACACTATTTTTTAAAATTCTAGCCAAAGTGAGCAAAACTTACAATATCTACTCCATATAAGCTCTGCTTTCTATTTCAGTCGGGAGGTGCAAGTAGGGGGAGAGGAAAGAGCTTAGGAATGATTAGAAATGGCATATTTTATTTTCCAAAACAGGATTAAAAATGCAAAATATGAATGCAAACATTGGCTGCCATGCAGAGGCCTATGAAGTGGATTGAAGAGAGGCAAATGTGCAAACTACAATTACCTTTAAAATTTGGGCTCTTTAGTACTTTAGGTTACTGGTGGAAAGAAGCGGAGGGGAGAGAAGGGAAAAAATTAGTTTCATTTTCAGTCCAGGAAACAGGAAGGCCTTGTGAAGTTCTTTCATGTATAGTATTTGGCAACCAGGACATTCTTGAAAACACACCTTGCCAGAGGGTAAATCCCTGCTAAAAATAAGTCAACTATCAGGCTGACAGAACATCAAGATTTCAAAACCCACATGGGAAAAATAAAAATTTCAGACCACCTCCAGAAAAAAAGGGGAAAAAATGCCAGTGAGCACGTCTACATGAGACACTAAAAGTGCAGTAGACTAATTCTACTGCGCATTAGCACATCAGGGCAAAAACCATGCTAATGCGCAGTAGAATTAGCATCATGTAAAAAACATGTGCTAGCGCTACAGCACAGTAGCACCAAGTACAGCGCATTAAGTTATAACTTGTTATTACAGGTACTAAACTTAATGCGCTGTAATTACAGCACCCTAATGCATGTATAGACATGCCCAGTGACTGACAAAAGGCTACTACTTGTGGGGGGGGGGGAATTACTGATCAAGGGGGAAAAGGAGCCCCAAGCCCAACTGTTTGCCATTAATTTCTAGCCCTCTTTGTCTATAGGAAAATGCACTAAAAGCATTCCAGCAGGACTGACTTGCAGCAGTACCCTTCAAACTTCTGCATGGCAAGCAAATGAAAAAGGCAAGCAACAACTGTGCTCCATTCGAGATAGCCCCTCAAAATCAGTGCTAGGTAGCCAGTAAGCTGGCATTTCATCTTGAGGTTCATTTTCATTATTAGAATACATGTTTGGGAGTTTGGGAGTTCTCTGCTTTCCCCTGCAGTGTTCTCTGTTGATGATGTTGCTTTAAAAATCGGCAGGGTAAACAAACTGAATTAGAGAGGCATAAGTTTTCGTAAGAACTTATTTCATCAGCATCTAATGAAGTGAACTCTTGCTCACAAAAGTTTCTCTGATTCAGTTCATCTATATGGTACATCTCTACCCTGCCCTGACTTAAGACAAACACAGCTAACTATCTCTCTGCTTTAAAAATAGGAATGGAACTGAGCTGCATTTTAGATCCAAATGATTATCTTTCCCCAAGTTCAAGGAAATCACATGAAGCATTCTCGGTCAAGCCCAGTTTTAACTGAAAGCAATTCTCTGCCAAAATAAAGCAATTAGTATGATTTAAGTTTCTTGCTAACATGATATTTCCAGGATTTTATGGGTATTTGGTGGGGGGTCGGGAGGGGGCCAAATAACAATTTTTAATTGAATTTTCACATTTAAAAGAGAAACAGAAATAGCTCCTCCAATGGAGAAAGCATAGGTTATAAAGAGGCAGAGGTACAGATTAACTGGCACAGGTTGTCATTATTATTATTTGAATTACCATATGAGGAAATACTATAATACATATTACAATACAAGTGCTGTGCTGAAGGACAGAAGAGGTTTTTTAATATGGAGAACAACACTATTGAAGTGCCTTTTAAGTGGATGTGGGGAAGTTTAGGACCCATTACAAAATAAAATTTTACTTTTAATGCAAAAATTATATGTACTTTAAAAAATGTATATATTTTTTCTTTTTTACATGATGCTGTTTTTCTTCTTACATTCCACTCAGCTTATCAATGGAAACTAGTTTGGGTGGTTTAGCTTAAGAATAATAGTGATCATTAGTAGTAATAATACTACTACTAATAATAGTAATAATAATAATAATAATTACTAGCACCACTGCCACTCGTAATACAGCAAGGTCTACTATAAAACACAAGACTCCATGTTTGCACTGCCTACCAAAGACAGCTCCGAAGAGCTCACTATTTCTTTATAAACAAAGAGTCGACAACTGAATACTGAGAGGTAGATGGGGGAACACAACTGAATAATGAGACAATATTGGTTGGTATGAACATATAGCACACAAACTGACTAACCCTTGTCAAGTCTGTTATAGACATCAAGAAAAAGATGAGCTTTAGGCAGAGATTTGAAGGAGATGAACAAGTTGGCTTTGTACATGTTTACTAGGAGCTTATCCTCATGGGTGATGATCAGCTGACTGTGGGGAAAAACCTGATGGGATATAGCTGCATGTGGGACAATCTAGATTGGCCTTGTTTGCCAAAAATGCAGGGTTCAGTGTCACAAAATCACAATAAAATGATAGGGAGGCTGGAAACAGGCTTGTAAAGAGCCTTAGAAAGAGAAGACAAGTAGTCCGTGTTTCATGTAGAAAAGGAAATGTAGTTGGGGAGACCTGAAAAGAGAAGGAAATGGAGTCAAAGTAATGAGTCTGGGAAACGACCCTTGCAGCAGAATTTGTTGAAGGCATGACTGTGCTCGGGCAAGATGAAATGTGTCAATGTCAGAGAGGAGGCAGCTGAAGCCACTGATACTTAAGAGGATGACAGCCCATATGAGAATTTGGGGTGTGTGGAAGGAAAGGACAGATCATGTGTTAAGAAATGTTAGCCAGGAAAAAGAGGCCAGACAGAGAGAGGAACTAGATGGGAGGCTTTAGAGAAAGAGCCTAGTCAAAGATCATGCCAAGGTTGCAGACATGAGCAAAAAGAAGGATACCTGGTATCCACGAACACTAGGTGGAGATATTTAGAGCTCTGTTTTGACCATGTTGAGATAAAGCTGAAGGTTGGACATGTATGAGGAGATGTCAGGAAAACAAACCAAGATTTTAATTTGGACAGAAGGAGGCTGGTCAAGGGATGGAAAGGTAAATCTGCACATTGTAAGGATAAAGATGATAGATGAATTAATATTTGTGAATGGAACTGTCCAAAGCCCGGGTGCATAGGAGAAGAGATAAGAGCCAAGAGCAGAAGCCCATAGGACCCCCCAGACAAAGTTCTAGATAGATTAAATTTACATATGGAGAACAGATTTCTATTTTTTTTAGTTTAACAAGCTGCCTCTCGGAAACAAAGATGCTGTGTTAGTTTAAGGCACTTACTGTACAAATAGTTGCATGTGTACTAAAATTACACTCACGGGAGTAGCCTAGTAGTTTCAAAGGGTACACAAATATTTACAGAATTGAAAGGTAATCTCCTCCCATAAATATATTAATTTTCAGCTTCATAATCAATCCTCCTTTCAGTTTAAACAAAACAGAAAATCCTCTCTACAGCTCTTGTTCTCTGTTAGGATAAATGGTTACTGATTTCCCTTTTAGGATGTGTGATCCTAGCACAAAGTTGGCAAACTCCCAAGGGTCAGAGCTCCTGCCATTGTCTCCAGCAGGCCATGCCATCCAGTAGCACTGTAAAGAGCCAGAGCAATCATATGTGTAATCCCCTGTAATGATAATTGCCTATAAACTCTTCCTTCCTCAGCAGATGGTGGGATTTTGTCATCTTCTTCCAAACATGAAAGAGCCCACAGTCATGAAAGGAGCTGAAGGGGTAAAAATAAAGTGTATTCCAATTTGCAGTGGTTAATTATCTTCTCTCCTGCAGTACTAAAATACCCCTCAATCAAATATGGGATACAAGGCACAACAAAGATCACAAATGAGGAGCACTAGAAAATTCTTCATAAAGGAAACAGTGCTTTCCACTCTCAGTTTTAAGATTCTTCATTTGTAATATAATTTTTAAAAGGAGTGAGGGGACATGAAATGTATGGCACAAAAGGAGCTACTGGATTAAAACAAGGG